AATGTTGTCAAAAATCGATCCCAAGCATTTTCATTGGCCATAAAAGTCATCTTCAGTGAATTTTGACACAATTATTAAAAATATCAAATTGCGCGGCGCGGCAGTTACGGTAATTTTTAAGGAAAACGACCGAAAAGCGTATCTTTTCGCAACAAAAGTTACGCTGTTAGGTCAAAATGTGGTCACAAATCGATTCCAAGCATTTTATTGGCCATAAAAGTCATCTTCAGTGAATTTTGACACAATTTAAAAAAATATAAAATTGCGCGGCGCGGCAGTTACGGTCATTTTTACTGAAAACCATTTTAAAAACTTCTATTTGCTAATATCTTTCAATTTGTATTGTTTTTACATTTAATTAATAGTTTTGAATTATTATATACATAATTGAATATTTGGCCTATCAACATTTTTAAATTCTTTACGCCACGCATTACAACTGTAATATATATGAGTATTGCTGAAAGCACAGTGTAAGGCCTACACGGACCGCCTCTAACTAGCCAATCCCTGTTTACATGCCGTGTAGCAGGGGACTAATATAATATTTGACCAAAACCCATAATCATGGGTAGATTGGACCGCGGTGCTACCAGTGTCTGTTTTTCCCAAACAAAAGGAAACCATATTAATTTGAATAACCGCCTGAAAATGCAAAATGATACCGGAAATTGAGAATAAAAGCGGTCACTCACTTTTCCCATAGTTGTAAAACAGGGGTTCCAGAAAACTCATTTCCTGATACTGCTAAATATGTAGCTGCTTTGCAAAATTTGACATCTCTAACTCAATTTTAACATAGTTTTTAATGCACCTGAATATGGCGATTTTGGGTTTTTACCGAATTTCATATAACAGTACTGGTATGTATTTTGCGCAAATAAAAACCTCCACATAAATATTCATTATTCCTGTCATCCTTGACATTTAATTAGAATTGTTTGAACTTAAAATATGCCTGCTGAACTACTTTCGAGATATTGGCATGAGCTGATAGTGTGCTGATAACTTAGTAGTTAGTATATTTTATACCGATTAGTCTTCTTATAATTAAAAGTAATATAATTATCAGTGTTTAAGGATAATATAGTTTGCTGAAAACGCAAAGCTGGGACCTACTTGGCAAATTGATAAACATACTGGCCACAGCTCTTTTTTTGTTCTTGAATTGGTCAAGGAGTGTCTCTTCTACCTAACCGCAATGTTCACTGTTTAATTTCTTAATGTACCAGACTTTTTTGGATGATTTCCGGTTTGACTCAATAACATCCTAGTAGTTGTGCCGCAACATTCCAGTCCTGTGCTAAACAAGCCGGTGATTTGAAGACTGCACTTTTTTGTACATTATAAACACTATTTGTGGTACAAAATTTGGCTGAGAAGTTTATATTTTGCAGTTATGGTGTAGCAACACGTGGAGGTTTTATATGGTGTTATGAGAAATAAAACAGGAAAGTAGTATGATGGAAAACATTAGTTTAATTTATACACAAGAGACAAAACAAGAATTACCACCAACTCAATCGACATTGGTGCTTTAATAATTTGTCAAATAATTGTTACTGTCAACGTATAAATTACTCCAATTACTGTAAATATCATTATGTACCAAAATTGTTTGGGTCTGGGAAGAATTTGATTAATTTGAGAAACTTTATCTTGATTGAAATGGCATTTTGAATTTTCCCGTTGGCAAAAAAACAAAACACGGCTAAAATGATGCTAAAAAATTCCAGTATTAGCCATAAGCAATGTTTACAAACAATATAAAAACATCCATAATCATGATACATGGTACAACTACAGTATAAAATAAAGAGGTACAGTCACATTGCCAGATAGGGTAGGCGGCGACTATTTTTGGGCGCCCATGCTTTCAGCCATGACTTCTGACTAGGTCTATTTGGCGATTTTTTGGCTGATCTAAAAATATCACTCTAAAATAGTCGCCAGATCTCTATCATTTTCCCATATAACGGATCCCAGGTTGGGTAAAATTTATCTATGGCAAATATTAAGGGGTAAGTAGCAAACAGTATAAACAGTGTATATTATGAAATAATGTAAATACTATGAAATAATGTTTATAAAGTGAGTAAAGGCTCGCTGTAGATAAAGTAGGTAAATAGTTAGAGTTACACCTCGTTAATGTTGTACTCATGCAGATAGCACCACAGTTACTATTCAAATAGTCCAGTTCCGCATTATAAAATGAGATAACGGAAGAATTAACACCAAAGAAGTAGAAACATTTTATCGATTCCGATTTAATTGATTGCTATTGGCAATACTGATCATTTTAATTAGTCCCGAATAGACCCAATATAATGTTTCAGTCTTTAACAAATACGGGAAATATCATCTTTGCATCATCACTCCATGATACCCAAATTCCATGTAAAAACTAAAAATTATTAATCATATTATATACGCAAATACAATATCAAATATTCATTATCAGGCTCTTTTAAGCGTGTTTGCAGATTGTCATCCCTGTCATAAACAAATAGAACTTAGGAAAGTAAACCAGTATCATTACAATCATTCAATCTAGCGAAGTCAGACAAAATCCTTAACTTTCCTAACTTCTTCAATTTAACGATGAAGATATCAGATGCATGGTGGAGATAACAGACACATAATAATCAACCTCAAGATTCACTTATTAGTCGAATACATCTAACACAAAATGCAAATAGGCCAGTGAAGGTAAGTTGGAAGAAACAGTTTGTAAGGTCTAAGAAATACCAAAATTGGATTTATGTCGAGGACTTAAAATTTGCCGAATGACACCATGTTCTCTCCTTCGAGCTGACCTGTATCCGCTGAAAATTTGAGTCAAAATTTGTCAGGTGCAACTCCGCAATTTAGGATACATTTAGAGTAGATTACAAAAGATCTTGCAATATTTCCAGCAATGTAAGAAATTAAACTGTGTGTGCAATATTGAGACATGTAAGCAAGTGTTTGGAAAGTAAACTAGCTTCTGATTTGTGTGTATCCAACTTACTGTCGTTGAAACCGCGTCGGTATTTTGATTTAGACCTTCCAAGGTATGATGTATCAAACATATTATGATGTGTCAAACATATGGTGTGTCAAAAGTGCCGAAATCATTAAAATAAGTAAATCACAAAAACAATCGCAATTATGGTAGAGCTATCAATGCTCGTTCTCAACATAGAGGATTTGAGAAAAATCTAGATCAAATTTGCTTAGTATTGATCAAAAATGCTACACAAATTAATTTACATCCTTCCTATTCCGATATATTAGTAGGTATTGACACTTAGTTATAGTGATGTATAGTATAATTATATAAATTTGTATAAATTTTAATTAAAGAAATCTTACTCTGAAAATACAAAAAATAAACCCTGACATAAATTTTAATGCTTCACATAATTTATAGCTAAAACTATAACGAAATATAGTACTATGCCGAATTTTTGAACTCAAGATATACAGGTGCAGTGGGCAATTAAAGTTGTACCACTAGCAGTGTCTAGCTTAGAAAATTTCTGTATTATATATTGTGATGTATTGCAAATATATATCTGCCTGGATTGCTAACTACGCTTTAAAGAATTATACTTGATATGTACGATATATAATATATATGATCAAATTAAATCGAATAGCCTAATCTTCATATAAATGATTGTCCCAATAATTATGGACACTAAGAAAGATACAAACCGAGAAGATTCTCAAAGTATCCAATGATTAGTTAAAACATTCTCAAACATTCCGAGCATATTTATTAAATACAAATGCTCGGGCTACACGGCAGTCGGTTCAAAACACACTCCATCTCGGTACTGGCAAATAGAATTATAGCCGAACACAAAGTTAAAAGCGACCACGTGTATCCCGAAGAAACTCAGAACTAAAATATTGTATAGTTCACCAACAATATAGTATTGGTAGAAAAATAAATCTTAAATTGAGGAATCCAATATTCGATTAAAAGTTCTTCAATTCTCAAGGAAGAGCAATTGCTTGCAAAAGACTCACAGTGTCATATTGTCAGTTGGTAAAAAGAACAAACTGTCTAAAAATCATGGTTTGAAGTGGAACTTCAAATGAGCTAAAAGACTCCAGAATGTGACCATCTATTTGGGAAGAACGGAGCCTGTTGCTGTTGTTGCTGGTTTGTAGTTGAAGGTGACTGGTAGTTTCCTCCTACATGCTGGTTGTTGTTGTTTTGGACATTCATCGACTGCTGAATGGAATCGATAAACATTTTCAGGGCTTGGATATCTTTCCTGTTTTCAAAGTTAGGAGAGCTGTATCCACTGTCCAAGTCAACTCTTGTCGGGTCGTAAGAGTTGGAACTGAGTTGAGTTGTAGGCTCAGGAGATGTGTTGAAGCTTCCGAAACTGCTGTAGAGACTGGGATCAGGTTTTCCCCATGTCTTGTTGCTTCCAGAAGAGGGCTGCATGGAGGGAAAGGTATCCAGTGCCTTAGGAGGCATCATAGGTTTCTTCAGGTCGACATCCACTAGGTGATCTCAACAATTTGGAATTTCAGATTTCTTTAGATACGAAAAAATTCAAAATTCTACGAACGTAAATAATTTAAATGTTAAATGTGTACACATCTAATCAAAAATATGAACGAGATTTTAAGATTTCATCCTCCTTGTTTTAGAATTATACTATTTCTATTGTACATATAATGTGAATTCTCGCTGGGCGTTGCTGTAATTCTATGGAATCTTTTCGCTCTTACTGTTGTTGCTGAAAACCACACGTCACATTTGACGAGAAAAGCATAAAGTTAACTGTTACACTTTTTAAAGCCACTTCGTGTTCTCTTATTATTTTGACTTAGCAAATCTTATCACCTTACATGCTTATGTAACGATGGTTTTGTCGAACACGTCGCCTTTTTTGCTAAGATTTCAAATGTTATACACAATCAAGAAGGCCGCAATCTTGATAATTTTCATACTTCTTCCAAGTGATATCATGAGTTTAATAATCATATTTTATTTATAGTTTAAAAACATGTTCTCAATGCCGTATGGAAGCTCGAGTCAAGGACAAGCTGACACCTTCAGCGACCAGTCCGCGCTTCAGGAGCTGCTCAACTTTCAGAAATCTCTCGATAGGAACTTCGAATTGCCTGACTTGAGGAAATTGAGCCTCAACGAGACCAATATGAATAACTCTGGAAGCTCTCTGGACGGATTTTCGGGATTCATGACGGAGGCAGCCAAGTCGAATCGAGATACGGAGTCTATTCAAGTTCGTGTTCCCACCTCCGAACATGTCGCCGAGATCGTCGGAAAGCAAGGTTTGTTTGTGCCTAATTTCACTTCATAGTTGTCGAGCAATTCAGGTGGAGTGTTATTGTTCCTTGCCCTTTTACTAATAGCTAAAAGTCGGGAAAGGATTAACATCAACCAATTTTCAGGTTGCAAGATTAAGTCGCTGAGGTACTCGACCAAAACTTACATCCAAACCCCTACAAGAGATCAGGAACCTGGTAAGTGCAAAAGTTAATTTAGTGCAATCTTTAATACACACTTAGGGTAGAACTATTGTCTATTGATTTTAGAATTTCTAATATCTGTGTTATAAACGACAATGTGCTCGAGTAACTGAACTGCGTTCTTTAACTTTATAAAATATCATATTGTAAACAAAAACAAACCTTAATTAAGTTAAACAATAGAAAAATGAAACCAATCTTTTGAAAACCTTTGTTTAGTAAGGAATTTTTCAGTGTTCACTATTTCCGGATACCCTGAAGATGTGGAGAGAGCTAAGAGAAGAATTGAAGAAGCTGCTGAGCACTTTACAAAGATCCGCCAGGGAAGAGCTACATCGTTTACCAGTGGAACTGTCCCCTAGTGAAGCATATGGCTGGTCATTTTCAGCAGGAAGATCATTCATTTCATGCTGATCATTTAGTGCAGAAGCTTATCGACCAAAAAGATGCCCTCAAGAAAAACATTAGTACCATTTTGAATTGGAGAAACTTTGATTTTGGTGAGTCTTCGCTCGTTCGAAATCCGTGTTTAAACTTATCGATTTTCTTATTTCTTTAATTAAATGCATTTCTTTGATTAAATGCATGCAGATGAATTACACTTCGTATCTGTAAACTCCAGAGAGATTTGATACAAATGTAACTTTTTCTATCTCAGGTTGTAGCTCGCCCAGCAATTGCTACAAAAGGAAACTCCGAAAAGTGGTCGGATCGTGTCTGGACGCTGAAGGGATATACTGGAATCTGTTATATAAGAATCAGAGAATATCCTTCCTGGTAGGTGCCGTCAATGCCATTATTGCACAATCATCCACTTGGAGCGTTGTGCTCAACTAACCTTGTTCGTTGGTTTAAGTTTCGCTAAAATTAAATCTTGATGTGATTGTAATATATTTTTTACGTCTTGTAATTGTACATTTTTTACGTCTTGTAATTGTACGTTTCAGGACGAGGTGCGATGCGGGAAGTGTGTCGTTGTGTTCGAAATTTTATCGGAGATTATGTTTACAGAAGGAACTTCACAGACTGGAAGTCGCTGTTCAAAAGTTCCGATTTGAGAGCGTTACAGGGTACAGCTCTTCAAGTGAACAACTCGGCGTGCCGAGCTCGGGGCCCTTCCCGTTCAGCAGTTTAATGACCACGAATCCCACTTCACTTCACCGAGGATGGTGAGATTGACTGACTCAACAATATTACCGGAGGAGACAACCTCCATGATGATCACAACAACTCGCATTCTAGAGTCAAGTAAGTGGGGAGGGGGTGGGGGGTTTGGGGCAACACCGACTACCAACATCTATTTTCTAAAATTAGTGTAATATAGTAAGCTGTTTACAGCAGGTTTTTAGCGTAGTGATCTTTTTAGGATATTCTAGTTTATTGTAAAAAAGCCGTTGGATTTTAGTGTAAGATTAGTGTAATAGTTTTGGATGGTTTTGCGGAGGAAGACACGTGTTAGTTTAGTCAGGTTAGTTAGTTAGGTTAAGTTATTGGACAGACTGGGCCGCGCGGTATCACGTGGTTCGCCATGTGATGCCAAGTGACGCAGTGCTGGTAGTTTTTGCCTGCCCCGTTAGAGTAAAATTAGTTCTTTGAGTAGCTTTTTAGGTTACGGTTACAAAAGTTACCGCTGCCGAGAACACTGTCAAGTAGCCGACGAGCTACTAGTTTGATTTGTTGATCAAAGTTGTAGATTCTACCTTCGAAACTTCTTATTCGATAGAAACACCGGATTTGGACTAGATTGTCACGAACAACACACATAGGGCCTGTCGTGATATCATGGATCGCTTAGGTTCCACCAGGATCTGGTAGTCCTCATAATTCTGCAGCCTCTCTGCATCGTCATCTCGCACAACTCTTTAAGAATCTTGTGAATTTGGCATGTGAAAATTTGCAGCCTTCCAGACTGGGGTCAGCAATATCACGATGACTCATATTTTTCGTGACATGAGTGCTCAGCAAGGACTGTACAGGGAGGCAACAGAGGCTCAGTTACGCTTGGCAACAAATAAGCGAAGGAGGTGTGCCCTGTTGTCGGTGCAAGATCTAACAGTTGAGGGTAAGACAAATCTTACTGTTCATCTGATTACAATAATTGCAGTTAATTTCGACATCACCACAATTCCTCATTTCAGATCCCTTCAAGACAACTAACCCAACACCTAAGAAAGATGACCTGGAAAAGATCCTACTCATTTTCCTGGCGTGTTGTATTGTTGCTACCCCTGTCATTATTTTTCTCACTTGGTGTTTTATCAGGCGCCGCCGGAAGGATCCAGAGGTAAAAACTGTTTGCTCCTCAAAAAAGACACTCGTTTTATTCGTTGATTGAATTTATATGAGTCAATTTTAAAATTTATATTTTTATTCTTATGCAAGAACTTGTTAACTTTGACAGAATGCTTCCACAGATTATCTGACTGTAATTAAATTTTTCAGATTACGACCAACAGGTTGTCAAGACAGGGGTGCAATACTCGAACAGAGTCTTCATTGGCAACCTTCACACACGGATGGCGGAATACGACGTGTGTACGATCATGAGACATTACAAATTCTACCCAGAGGACATAAAGGTAATACGGGACGTTGATGGGTGCAGTAAGGGATATTGTTTCGTGGATTTTAGAAGCGAAAATGAAGCTAAGAGACTGCTAGCTCAGGAGAACATTGAATCCAAGTTCGGTAGAAAGTTGCTGATCATACCTGCCATTCGCATACGAAGAAAAGAGGTCCTGGTGGTGAAACAACAGCCAACTGCCAGCCACGCTCTAGAGTGCAGCGCCTCCCCAGATCTGGCAAGTAGGGGTTACCCGTCCCAAGACCACACTCCTACACCAGTTGTCACTAAATCAACCTCCACAACCATGTATCCCGAACCACCAGAGGGTGGCAGGATCCAGAGTTTGCTGTCGGATCGTGGAGTAAATAAGCTCAGACTTAATCTCAATCTGGAGCAAGTTACGGAAGCTAACCATGCAGCACCCTGCAACATGTACTCTCCATCCTACCTCATCCCCAGTCAACCCTCAACGCCTCTCTACCCTCCAGGTTACCTGTACCACAGCCAACCCTCTACACCCTTCTCAGACTACCAGTACCACAGCTTACCCTCAACCCCCCTCTCCGAGTTTTTCCCTCCCTACTCCCCTAATTTTGCTCAAGGAGTACAGTCACCTGCATCCGGATTTACAGCTCCATTCTCGTATGGAAGGAGTGTACCACTGGCATTCTACCAACCTTTCTACCAGAACTCTTACTTCTCGCCGAATTTCCGCTCGCAGACAGGAGCCGGTGTCCCTAATGCCGAGAAGCCACAATCTGCCGACAGCTCAGTCACTTTGCCTGTACTTAATCAGCCGGTTCCGGCCAGCCAAGGCCCTTCCTCGCTGGGAAACTAGACAGCAGACAGATATCTGTTGCCAGAAAAGGAATTATATTTAGGTTACCTAATACAGTCAGGTTGGTTGTCTTTTTATTTAGCCTTTTATACTTTAACTTAAAGTAGAAGTTATCCATCAAGTCCATCAATGAAACAAAAAAATATGAGATAATCGCTAGAATAATAGTACGAATTACGATTGGTATCGTTTTCATCACCCGAGAAATACTAGTATTCTCCTTTTTACTCAGATACGTTAATGGCGGAATATATCGGAGATGAAGACCGACAACCCTGGGAACTGGAGCCGATGCCTCGTCCGAGAGTTCCTATAGGCAGCTTCACTCTCAACTCGAGCTACAGCGAGACCTCCGACACTGACAGTTCAGTTGGTTTATTCCTGAACCCCTCCTATGCTGCTAGCTCAGTTGGAGGATCATCTCTAGCCGGAGGATCATCTCTAGCAAGAGGTCTTGTTAACAATGCTGCCTACTCTTTAGGACGGTCTGAGTCGTCGTTAGTTGTCAGTAGTTACTCTGTGTGGTCCGGATCTGTGACAGTCAAACAGGTATTATTGGATCTGCGAGTGACAGTGAAGATTGTGAGATTAGTCCCGCATCTCTTTGTGGAAACTTCCTTCTCTTTCGACAACTCTCGTCATTTTCCAAGAAGACCACCTCCAGCTGTACCTAACAAACACAGAGTGTCCGTTTATGTGAACCCAAACTTTGTTCCTAAAGACGTTAGTTACGTTGAACTGAAGAGCTTTAGTGACACTTCAGATCACGTTCATTATTATATATAACAATGAACGTGATATATAGTACTGTTGAGAGTATTAAAACTTAGTGCTATACTCTAAGACAGTTTGCTGTCGGATCGTGGAGTAAATAAGCTCAGACTTAATCTCAATCTGGAGCAAGTTACGGAAGCTAACCATGCAGCACCCTGCAACATGTACTCTCCATCCTACCTCATCCCCAGTCAACCCTCAACGCCTCTCTACCCTCCAGGTTACCTGTACCACAGCCAACCCTCTACACCCTTCTCAGACTACCAGTACCACAGCTTACCCTCAACCCCCCTCTCCGAGTTTTTCCCTCCCTACTCCCCTAATTTTGCTCAAGGAGTACAGTCACCTGCATCCGGATTTACAGCTCCATTCTCGTATGGAAGGAGTGTACCACTGGCATTCTACCAACCTTTCTACCAGAACTCTTACTTCTCGCCGAATCTCCGGTCGCAGACAGGAGCCGGTGTCCCTAATGCCGAGAAGCCACAATCTGCCGACAGCTCAGTCACTTTGCCTGTACTTAATCAGCCGGTTCCGGCCAGCCAAGGCCCTTCCTCGCTGGGAAACTAGACAGCAGACAGATATCTGTTGCCAGAAAAGGAATTATATTTAGGTTACCTAATACAGTCAGGTTGGTTGTCTTTTTATTTAGCCTTTTATACTTTAACTTAAAGTAGAAGTTATCCATCAAGTCCATCAATGAAACAAAAATATGAGATAATCACTAGAATAATAGTACGAATTACGATTGGTATCGTTTTCATCCCCCGAGAAATACTAGTATTCTCCTTTTTACTCAGATACGTTAATGGCGGAATATATCGGAGATGAAGACCGACAACCCTGGGAACTGGAGCCGATGCCTCGTCCGAGAGTTCCTATAGGCAGCTTCGAAAACTCTCGTCATTTTCCAAGAAGACCACCTCCAGCTGTACCTAACAAACACAGAGTGTCCGTTTATGTGAACCCAAACTTTGTTCCTAAAGACGTTAGTTACGTTGAACTGAAGAGCTTTAGTGACACTTCAGATCACGTTCATTATTATATATAACAATGAACGTGATATATAGTACTGTTGAGAGTATTAAAACTTAGTGCTTCAAGGCACAGACAATCGATTATTTAGGTATTTATAGAACTATGAACTAGTTCAAAGTTATTTAACCAATTTGGTTGCTAACCTATTAGATAAATGAATCCGCTTTTTTTAGACTTTTCAAAACATTTGACCATTGACACCAATGTGTTATTTCTAACTTTATATAAATATATTTTATTTTTAAAATACAAAGGGAAAATTTTTCTTGGTTTTTTTTTTTGGGATGAAAAGGGGGCAGGGGTGAAAACCCAATTTTTTTAACCCTTTTTTTTTTTTAAATTTTTTTTTAACCCCATTTGGGGCCCGCGGGGGGGCGCCCTGGGTCACCGGAACCCCCTTTAAAAAATTTGGAAAAAAATTTTTAAATTTTTATGGGGTTTTCCCTGGTAAAGGGTTCCCTTCCCCCCCAAGGGCCCCTTTTGGGGGGGTTGGGGCCCGCCAAACAAACCCCCAATCCCCCGGTTTTTGGGCCCCGGCCCTTAAAAAAAAAATTTTCCCCCCCCCAAATGTAAACCCCCGGTTTTTTTGGGAGCCCCCAAAACTTTTTTGTTTTTTTGTCCCCCCTTGGGGGCCCCCATGTTTTTTTAAAAACCCCTGGTTTTAAAAAAATTAGGGGAGCAAAAATTCGAGTACGCCCCGGAAAATTTCCCAAAATTTTTTTTAAAGGGGGGTTCCCCCGGGCCCCCTTGGGCCCTTTTTCCATAATTTTGGGGTTTTCCCGTTCAAAAAGGGGAAAAATCGGTAAGGCCCGAGAGGGGGAAATTCTTAAAAAAATAAAAGGGCCCCAAAAACCAAACCCTAGGGGGTGGGCAAACCCAATTTAAAGAAAATCCCCCCCCCAAACCCGGGGGGCTTGATGCCAAACCCTTCCCCGAGAACCCTTTGTCCCTTGTTTCCCCCCATGAAAAGGAAACCATTTTAAAACCCAAAAGTTACCCTTTCTCAAGGAGGTTTTTATGGGAAAAAAACCCGAAAGGCCGTTTCCCTCCCGCCCCTTTTTTTGGGGGGGTTTTTCCCCGAAAAAAATTTAAACTCCAAAACAAAAAAAAAATTTGGTTTTAAAGGGAAAAGGGGGGCCCTAATTAATTTTCCCCCAAATTTTTTGGTTTTTTAAATCCCCCCCCTTAAAAATTTTTTGGGTTTTTTTCCCCAAAAATTTTTTTTTCCAGGGGCCTTTAAAAGAAAAAGGGGGGCCCCCTTTTTCCTTTTTGGATACGGGGCCCTCCCAAAAAACTTCCCGTTGATTGTTCCCCCCTTTCCCCCCCTGAAAAGTTTGCCCCCAAGGGTTTTGACAAAAATTTTTTCTAAAACCTGCCCCCCGGGGGGAAAAGGGTTTTTTTCCCCTCAACCCCAAAAAAAGGGGTTTAATAAAAATTTATTCCCCTTTAAGGAAAAAGGGTTTGCCCCGGGGGGGGGCCCCCTTGCCCCTTTCAGCCCCTTTTCAAATTTTGGGGCCCTTTTTTTTTTTTTATTTTTTGGGGGCCCGGCCCTTTGGGCCTTGGAAAAAAGAAACTAATAGATCAGGGTTTTGGGGTTTCCCCTGTAGGCCCTTTTTTTCCCCGGGGGTTTTTTCCCCCTAAAAATTTAGGTCCCCCTCCCCGCAAATTTTAATTTTTAGGGGTCCCCGAATTGGGGCCTTTTTTTCCCTCGACCGTCCCTTTAAATTTCCCCTTTTTTGCGCCCCCCGGCCGGCCCCTTTAAATGAATTTATTCCTTTTGGTTTTGGGCTCAAAACCGGAAAAATTTTCCAGAAAAAAGTTTTTTTAAACCGGAAATTTTAAAAACGGGAAATTTCCTTGAAAAGTTTACCCTTGGAACCCCCGTCCCCCGAAGTTTTAAACAAACCCAAAACCCGTTTTCCCCGGGCCCCGCTCCCCCAAAAAAACCCTCACGGGGAATTCAGGTTTAAAAAACCCCCCCAAAAAAAAAAGATTTAAAATTTTTTCTTGGGAAAAAAAATTTTTTTAGGCCAAAAACCCCCCCCAAAATGGGGGCCCTTTTTAACGGGCCCCCAAAAAAAAAGGGCCCCCCCCCCTGATTTAAAAAACGGAAAAACTGCCTTGAAAAATCCCCCCAAAAAAAATTTAAAGGGAAAAGGGGAAAAAGGGGTTTTAAAATCCAAAAAAAACAGTTTTTTTTAATTAAAAAGTTCGGAGAGGAAAAAAAATTTTTGATTTAAATTTTCATTAAGGGGGGTTTTTCTGTCCCAAAATCCCCCACTGATTTTTCCCCCGAAGGGGACCAACCCCCCATTAAACCAGCCCGGGGGAAACCGCTTTTAAAAAGAAAACCAAACAAAAAAAAGGGGTTGGATTGGGCCCGGAAGGGGCCCTTTTAAAGGGGAACCCCCCCTGTTTTTTTTTTCCCCCCCGACCCGGAAAGGGGTTCCTTTCCCTTTTTTTTCCCCCAAAAAAAAACCAAAAAATCCAAAGCCCCCCCTTTAAAAACCCCAATTCCCTTTAAAGGGAAAAAAAGGGGCTCCTTTTTTTCCCCCCAAATTTCCCTTTAATAAGGGCCAAATCTTAAAATTGAAACAAAATAAGGGAAAGGGAAAATCCCCCCACCCCTACCCTTTTTTTTGCCCCCGTTAGTTTAAACCCCCTCCACTCCCTGGGGGTTTTTTTGTTTTTTTAAAGGGTTTGCCCCCGGGAAAATAAACTTTAAACCCCGGGTTTTCCCCGGGGGGGGGGGTCCATTCCCCCAACAAAAAAGGAGGTTTAAAAAAGGGGGGGTTGGGGGGGGGAAAATGGGATTTAAGGGTTTTGGCAAGGGGCGACAAATTTTTTAAAAAGGGGGTTTTGGGAAAATTTTTATTAAAAGTTGGGGTTTCCTTTTTTCCCCCTATCCCCCCCTGCTTGGGGGGGGAAACCGTTGGGTCCCTTTTTTCCCCCCCGTCCCCCTTTTTTCCCCCCCCCCGGGAAAAAAAGTTTTTGAAAACTTTTTTGTTTTTTTTTACCCCGGGGGTTTTTCTTGTTTTTTTTCCCATTTTCCCCCACGCCCGGGTGAAAAATTTTTTTTTCGCCCGCTTTCCCCCCAAGGTCCCGTAAACTAAATTTAACCCGCCCCCTTTTTTTTGTTTCGGGCCCCAGCTTGGGGCCCCCGGGTTTTCTTGACTAACTTTTTTTAAATTTAAGAAAAAACCCCCCCCCCTTTCTTGGGCCCCCCTTTTGGCTCCCCGAGGGTTTTTTGGGCTTTGCCCCCCTTTAAAAAAATTTTGGCCCCCCCTGAAAAACCAAAAAAATTCCCCCTTGGTTTCCCTTTTTTCCCTGGAAAAAAGGGGGGTTTCCCCCTTTTTTCCCCTTTCCCCGGGGGGCTTTTTTTCCCCCAAAAACCCCCTTTCCCTTTTGGAAAAAATCAGTGACGGGGTTTTTACTTTAAAAATTAAAGCCCCACTTAATTTCCCGAAAGGGCCCCCCCTTCCCCATCC